AGAAACCCAAACCCGAAATACTGACGCATTGTCAACCTTCCCCGTCCAAAGCAGTGTGGGCGAGGTCTTAGGCAAGGAGACGCGGGGCCAGAGTTTGAGCTGACGCGCAGCGTAACGGACCGCAAATGGCCACAGAAAATGGGGGGCAGCCGCATGGACCTTGGAGGTACGAGCGACCTCCATGACTAAGCCAATGCGGCGCTCAGCAATCCCATTCTGCTGCGGTGAGGCCGGGAGCGTGAACGTCTGGCGAATGCCCTTCCCACGACAAAAGTTCCGCAGAAAGTCAAAGGCAAACTCACCAACTCTGTCAGAGTGTAGACGTAGGATGGGAAAGTCCGTCCCGAACTGCTCGCGGAGCTAGAGACGGGCAGCGTGGATCCAAGGGATCAAAACATCAGGGATCTCACCCTTGGTGCGCAAGGGGAAGATCGTGGTGTAACGCGTGTAGTCGTCAAGGACCAGAAAAAAGTACCGCTCTCGGTCCTGTCCACGAACGCGGGCTGGGCCCCACACGTCCATGTGGAGGGTCTACAGGGGAGCATTCGTCGGGGGAAAAGAGGAGTGAGGAGCGGCGCGCTGCCGCCCCTCGACACAAGGAAGACAGGGAGGAGCAGGCGAGGGTGGGAGGGGAGGGAGAACCCTGGGTAGACCAGAGACAAGGAAACAGCAGTGCATGCCGCGAAGGCAGTACAGTGAGGGGTGACCAAGGCGGTGGTGCCAAAGGACGGTCTGGTGCGACAAAGCACGACACGAGCAGGGGGGCGCTAGCTGACCTGACGCAGACGCACATGCAGCTATCTGAGGGGACACAGGTGACGGCCCGTCCGGGAGCACGTACAGTGGGTCACACGCTGACCTCCAAGAGTGAACTGGTCAACCAACGCGTCCTGGAGGTCAGCTCCACTCACCAAGTTCGTAGAGAACGAGGGGAGATGAAGACCCGACAGCGAGCCAGACGGGACCGCCGGACACGGCAGGACCGTGGAGGAGTGCGCAAGGTCTGGGCCCCCAGAGGGGTCTGCCAGGGAGACTGCAACCGGCCGACTAAGCGGCATGAGTGTGGTGCTGTCGCGAAAGAAGGAGCAGGAAGCACTTGAGTCAAGTGTGAAGGTGTGCAAGGCCTCAGCAGGCGCAGTACCAGAGAGAGCAGACTCACCAGCACCTGGAGCAGCAGACTCACTAGTACCTAGAGCAACAGCCTCATCAGCACCTAGAGCAGTAGACTCACTAGCACCTAGAGCAGCAGCCTCACCAGCACCTAGAGCAGTAGCCTCACCAGCACCTAGAGTAGCAGACTCTATACCTGGGTCAGGCGGTACACACAGGTAACAGGCACCCTTAGCACTAGTAGGCAATGCATACATGGCAGTGAGGATAGCATCATAGTCAAGAGCAAAGATATCCACCCTCTGTCTAAGCAGCTCCAGCCAGGTGGGGAGCTCAGCCTCGTCGCCAAACTCGGTACGCCAGGCGTCGCTCAGACAGGCAAAGCAGCGGGACTGTGTGTAACCAACCGTCCCACAAGTATGACCAGCCCGATCACCTGTACGAATGACGTATGGGGAGAACGGTACTCCGAGACCCTCTACTCTGAGCGTACCACTCACGAAGCTGCTGGGTCATAAGCGTCTCGCGCAGACGCCGCTGCAGCTGCATCTGGCCACTGCCAGAAGCACCCGGCTGACCAGCTCCAGGGCGACTACCACTACAGCCGCCGCCACAACCCCAACTAGCGTACCACTCACGAAGCTGCTGGGGCGTGAGGGACTCGCGCGGACGTCGCTGGAGCTGCACCTGGCCACCGCCAGTAGCAGCAGTAGAAGCAATAGTAGCTCCTAGCGCAGCAGCACCTAGGGCTCCTCTTTTTAAAAAAAAAATAAAAAAATTTATTCATTTATTTTAGGGTTTGGCGGGGCGCGCTGGGCGCTGCAGAGGCGGCTCACGGGCTGCAGGGGTGGCTCGCAGGCTGCAGGGGCAGTGCGCTGGCTGCAAGAGGCAGGCGCGCTGGCTGCATGGGCGGTTCGTGGGCTGCAGGGGAGGCTCGCGGGCTGCAGACGGGCGGCGCGCGGGCTGCAAGGGTCCGCGCGGGGGCGGCTTGCACGGGGCGGCGCGTGTGCCCTAGGGCAACGCGACGGGCAGGGCAGGGTGGCGCGGTGGCCCTAGGGTGACGCGACGGGCAGGGCAGGGGCGGCGCGCGGGCCCTAGGGCGACGCGACGGGCAGGGCAGGGGCGGCGCGCGGGCCCTAGGGCGACGCGACGGGTAGGGTAGGGGCGGCGCCCGTGCCCTAGGGTGACGCGACGGGCAGGGCAAAGGCGACGCGCTTACTAGGAGCGGGTGCAGGGCAGGGCCGCGACGGGCGGTTAGGTCAGGGCCGCAACGAGGCGGCTGTAGGGCAGGGCCGCGACGAGGCGGCGGCAGAGCAGGGTTGCGACGGGGCGGCAGCAAGGCAGGGCCGCGACAAGGCGGCTGCAAGGCAGGGCCGCGACGGGTGGCGGCAGGGCAGGGCCGCAGCGGGCGGTGAGGTTAGGGCTGCAACGGGGGGCGGCAGGGCAGGGCCGCGAAGGGCGGCTAGGTCAGGGCCGCGACAGGCCGTTAGGGCAGGGCCGCGACGGGCCGGTAGGGCAGGGCCACTACGGGCGGCAATAGGGCAGGGCGCGCGACGGCGTAGGTGAGGCAGGCGCGAGGCGCGCTTCGAACAGGGCAGGAAAAAAAACGATCGTGGTGGGCCCTTAAAAAAAAAAAACGTTCCCACTAGGGAACCTGCTCTGAAACCATGTGAAAGATAGAACGAGGAATGATGGCATTGAGCAGCATGAGGAGTACAAGTAGGAAACCCTAAAGTGTTGTACCCCATATGAACTACCCCACTGCAGCCTACATAGACTTTAGCATATAAGTTTGACAGTACACGCAGCAGATGGAGAGCCTCTTCAACCGAACTACCGACGTGACCGAAGGGGAAAAAATCCAAGCGTATACTGAGGGGCTAATAATGGAAGTCCGGCGACAGGTGATTGCCGCGAACTACAACAACTACCGCGACATGGTGTGTGCAGCAGCGAGATTCGATGCGCTTATGCGATGTGAACCCGAGACACGACGCCACGTGCCGAACCGATCATTTGGCATGAAGCGATCGGCACCACCCACGACCGCCGACCCGATGGATATCGACAAGATCGACGCGCAGCAGCGGCCGACAAAATATGAGAACTGCAAATTTTGCGGCGCAGCAGGACATCGACTCTTGGCGTGTTGGAAGTTGAAGAAGGTACTAGCGGAGCTGCAGGGCAACAACAGTGCGACATCCACGATGGCGAAAAAAGGAGGACATGATGGCCCGAATTTAATACGCCACGACAGGCCGACAACAGGGGAAATCGCCGAGACAAATGGAGGCTCCGCGAAACAAGACTCTGCACCGACTGGGAAACTCCAGCCGAACACCCCCGAGAGTAAGAATATTATCTCTCAAGGTTTTCAAGCCTTTAAAAAACTCCGGGGAGATTTCAAGGCCAAAAAAAAGCCTTCAGACATTATTCAGGTACCTGAGAAGTTGGGCAAACCACTCTGGAGCGTTGAAAAGGGTCGTGCGTTCCAAGGAGTTCATATTCTCTCTCCGTAGCATAGTGTTAAGGCTCCCCATTGCCCACAGGAGAAGCCTACACAGCTGCAAAGGCTTAAGGGAAGGTTCCAGGCCAAGACGAAGCTGAATCGGCCTCGGATAAATCCTTTTAACTCAACTCAGTTTAAAACTGATATGGAGTTAGCAGCTTCGAGTGCAGGACCGAGGGATGATCTATTCGACATACCCTACGATCCTATAAGCGAGACCATCTACGGTTACTCGGAGCAGCAAAAACCACTACTATTCGAGGTGATCTGCAATGGGCGACGCCTCCAGGCAATGGTGGAGAGTGGTGCGTCCCACTCGGTGTGCGACCGCGGGACGTTGGAGAAAATTGGAGAATTTTCGGAGGAGACCAAGTTCTCGGCAACAATGGTGGACGGTACGAAACTTCCCATCCACGGCAAAGCATCACTGCAGCTGCACATAGGGGCGCTGAGGTGGAAGCCGACGTTGCCGACCACGAACATCAAGGGCTTAGATTTCATCTTGGGGCAAGATTTCTTGAAGCGGTTCAACCCCGAGATCGACTGGGTCAGCAGGAAGGTGTGCATCTACAACAACGGGAAACGAGTGGAGCTGCGAAGTTGGACGGATACAGGGAACATTCCTGAAACGACACTGGCACTGTTCGAACAGACAGTGAACGAAAGTAACACGAGTTACTTAGCACTGGTTATGGCAGTAGCAGAGGAGGAGAAGCCGAGTTCGGAGCTACCTGCAGCAGTGAAGGAGGTCTTGGAGCAGTACAAGGATATAATGCTCGACGACCTACGTACAGGCGTACCTCCAGCACGCACCCACGAGCACGAGATCATGGAGGAACCAGGTGCGAAACCCGTCTCACATGCACCATACCGAGTGAGTCCGACCAAGCTGACAGACATGAAGAAACAGATGGAGTATCTACTGGACAAACAACTGATCCGCCCATCCACCTCTCCCTACGGTGCACCAGTCCTCTTCACTCTAAAACCAGACGCCAGTCTACGGATGTGCATCGACTACCGTGCACTGAACAAACAGACAGTTAAAAACAAATACCCCATACCGCGCATAGACGACCTACTGGACCAACTGCGTGGTGCAACACTATTTTCGAAGTTGGACCTACGGTCGGGTTACTAGCAGATCAAGATGGCGGACAACTCGATCCACAAGACGGCATTCCGTACCAGATACGGCTCCTACGAATACTTGGTGATGCCGTTCGAGATTGATTGTGATCACAGCTTGTTCCTGCTCCAGGAGAAGGAGCACTTTCTCATGCTCCTGGTGTATGTGGATGACATCCTGCTCTTCTCTGAGTCGTTTGCAATGATTGAGCATATGGAGGAGATGCTGGAGATGCAGTTGAAGTGCTCCAAGATGGGAGATGTGAAGTACTATTTATTGATGCATGTGGAGAGGGACCTTGACAAGGGAGTGTTGAGGTTGCACCAGAGAAAGTATTGTGAGGGGCTGGCTGAGAAGTATGGGCTGCAAGATGGAGGAAAGCCAGCCACCCCACTGCCTTTGGGGTTCACTGTGGAGCCCTGTGCTGATGAGGAGGTGGTGGGTGAGAGTGACAGGAAACTTTTTCATTCCATATTTGGGGCACTCAACTATGCGGCTAACCACACAGGGCCTGACATTGCCTTTGCAACATCCAGGCTTGCCAGTGTGGTTTCACGCCCCAGTCATGAGCAGTTGGAAGCGGCCAAGAGGTTGGTCCGCTATGTGAGTGCAACGACATCAGTGGGTTTGGAGTACAGTGCTGTGAGGCACAGGCTGCAGAGGGGTGCTGCTGATTTGAGCAAGGGGGAGATGCTCCTGACCTGCTACACAGACGCTAGCTTCAACTCGGTGAAAGCGGATGGCACCAGCATTGGAGGCTATGTGTGCCTGTTCGGAGGTGGTGCAGTGAGCTAGTGCAGTAAGAAGCAGAATAAAGTGGGGCAGTCCTCGTGTGAGACAGAGTACATGGCCCTGCATCATGGGGCAAAGGAGGTGGTGTGGCTGAGGTGTTTGTTGGAGGAGATTGGAGTTGGTCAGAGGGAGCCGACTGTGATTTTCTGTGACAATGAGTCGGCGGTGAAGCTAGCGAAGAATGCTTGTCTTTATGGGCTGATCAAACATATCAGGCCTAAGTGGCACTGGGTGAGAAGGCTCCTGGAAAAGGAGGTGCGGCTGGAGATTGTGAAGACCCATCAGCAGGCGGCTGACATTCTCACCAAGCGCGTGGCTGAATCTGAGCATTGGAAGGGCATGAAGCTTGCTGGGATGAGTGTGCATTGAGGATGCATGCTTGAGCTATGGCATGTGGGATGATGGTTGGCAGCCAGAGGGGGATTTTGTTGAGTGATGCTACAATTCGCATTTACGTCTGTCTGCCTCCCATCATATGTTCGTGCGTTGCATGCGTGTTGTGAGTGTGTGCAAGAATTTGTGTTTTGTGCGGTTTGTTTTTTCTGAGTGTGTGTGTGTGTGTGTGAATGTTATTTGGCTTGAGCAGATATCTGAAGTGACTCCTCTGCTCAAGAGCTTTCCGAGGAACCAAGTATCGCTTCAATCGGAGCACGAACAAGAAAGTTACGAACGTTGGAGTTCGTATGCTTTTGCTATTTGGTTGTGGTGACTATGGGAAGTTGTGGGGTTGACTCAATATGGGGTACAGACTTTTGGGGGTTGGGAAATTCGTCTTTTCTACTGTAGTTGCTGCCAAATGGTTGGGAGAAACCAAACCAGGTTGGCAAGTGTGGCCAAGTTGGGTTGAGGTGGATTGTGGAGGTTGGGATAGTGACAAAGGTCAAAGTTGGGTTGCCTATGGGGAAGGGAATTGTATGGCATGGGGTTTCCTTGGTTGGGGACTCTCTTGGAACCTTCCCTCTCGTCCTCCTCATCCCTTCCACCTGGTTTAGTGCTACTCCAATTCTCTTGTGTGAACTTGTGTGAACTTTGTGATTGAGTTAAGTTCTTATGGCAGCATCCCCCCCTGTGCGCCGAAATTGATAAGTCGAGATTTTCTTCACCTCTTGATACGTTTCAACTTGGGAATTGTAGCCACGGAGTAGGGCTACAACATAAATGTGTTTAGTGAAGTTTTGACTGTGCACGTTTTGTCGACGGCGTTTCTTGTGAGCGCAACTATTCTGTCCAGAAATAGGGTCCAACGATTTTGAGAAATTTAGGCACCTAATCTTCATAGACTCCGTCCTTAGTCTCTAACAACTTGCGCCCTTAGGTGCATCGATTTTCGCTGCCCCGCGGCCCTGCCCTGTCCTGTCGCACGTAGCCCGCGAGCGGCCCGTACCACTCCCGTCTGGCCTTCGCGCCGCCCGTACAGCCCGCGCCACGCCCGCGCGCAGCCCGTATATCCTACGTTAGGCCCACGCGCGGCCCGTACAGTCAGCGCTAGGCGTTAGCGCAGCCCGTACAGGCCACGTCAGGCCCGAGAGTGGCCCGTACAGTCCGCGCTAGGCATTCACGCAGCCCGTACAAGCCACGTCAGGCCCGCGCGCGGCCAGTACAGCCCACGCCAGGCCTGCACGCTGCACTGCGCCTGTGCTGCTGCTCTACAGCTGCTTCTACTTGCTGCCGCTATTGCTACTTGCTGCAGCCACCCCTGCAGCAGCCGCCCCTGGCCCCTGGAGCAGCCGCCCCTGGCCCCTGGAGCAGCCGCCCCTTCAGCAGCCGCCCCTGGCCTCTGGAGCACCCACCCTCGCAGCAGCCGCCCCTGGCCCCTGGAGCAGCCACCACTGCAGCAGCCGCCCCTGGCCCTTGGAGCAGCCGCCCTTGCAGCAGCCGCCTCTGGCCCCTGGAGCAGCCGCCCCTGCAGCAGCCGCCCCTGGCCCCTCGAGCACCCGCCCCTGGCCCCTGGAGCAGCTGCCTCTTCTACAGCCGCGCCCTCGTGCGCTCTGTCTCTGCCCGCGCCCTCGTGCGCTCTGCTGGTGCCCGCGCTCTTTTGTACTCTGCTCTACCCACGCCCTCGTGCGCTCTGCTCCGGTGCTGCTACTTACTACTGCTGCTACAGCTAGTGCTATTGTTGCTACTGCAACTAATGCTGCTACAGCTAGTGCTAACCTGCTGCTGCTGCTGCTCGAGTAGCAGCAGTTGCAGCAGCTGCCGTCGTGGCCCTGCCCCACCCTGCAGCAGTTGCCGTCGCGGCCCGGCCCCGCCCTGCAGCAACTGCCACGGAGCCCCTAGCCGCAGTTATGGCCTATCCCTGCAGCAGCTGCCGCGGAGCTCCCTGCCGCGGTTACGGCCCCGCCCTGCAGCTCTAGCGGCCCCGCCGTCACTGCCGTCTTGCGCCTGCCCTTCCCACCACTGGTGAGCACTTCCCTGCCCGAGCTGCTACCGCTGGTACTGCTGCTACAGCTGCTACTGCTGCTACTGATGTTACTGCTACTACTGCTGCTCCTAGCGTGGCCAGATGCAGCTCCAGGGCCGTCCGCGTGTAACCCTAACGCCCCAGCAGCTTTGTGAGTGGTACGCTAGTTGGGGTTGTCGGGGTGGCCGTAGTGGGAGTCGTCCTGGAGTGGGTAGTTCGGGAGCTTCTGGTAGTGGCCAGGTGCAGCTGCAGCGTCGTCCCCGCGAGGCTCTTTTGTCCTAGCAGCTTCGTGAGTGGTACGCTCAGAGTAGAGGGTCACTGAGTAGTGCTTGCTGCCCGTACATCATTCGCACGGGTGTCCGGACTGGTCAGCCTTGCGGGATATCTGGTCACTTAGAGTCCCGCAGCTTCGCCCGTCTAAGCGACGCTTGGCATACAGAGTTTGGCGATGCCGCTGAGCTCTGCTCCTGGCTGGAGCTGCTTAGGTAGAGGGTAGATATCTTTGCTCTTGACTATGATGCTATCCTCACTGCCATGTATGAATTGTCTACTAGTGCTGACGGTGCCTGTCACCTGTGTGTGCCGCCTGACCCCGGTATCCACGCTACTGCTCTAGGTGCTAGTGCGTCTCCTGCTAAGGTGCCGGTGAGGTTGCTGCTCTAGGTGCTCGTGCGTCTCCCGCTCCAGGTGTTGGTGAGGCTGGTGCTCTAGGTGCTGGTGAGTCTGCTCTCTCTGGGGCTGCGCCTGCTGCGGTCTCGCACACCTTAACCCTTGATTCGGGTGCTTCCCGCTCCTTCTTTTGAGATCGCACCACACTTACGCCGCTTAGTCAGCCGGTTGCAGTCTCCCTGGCAGACCCCTCTGGGGGTCTTGTCCTTGCTCACTACTCCACTGTCCTACCGTGTCCGGCGGCCCCTTCTGGCTCCCTGTCAGGTCTTTACCTCCCCTTATTCTCTACGAACTTGGTCAGTGGTGCTGACCTACAGGATGGGGGGGTTCACCAGTTCACTCCTGCGAGTCAGCGAGTGATCCACTGCACGTGTGCTCGGACGGGCCGACACTTGGCCACGTTTACCCGTCAGCCGGGATCGAGCCAGTACACACTGACTACTCAGTCTCCTCCGGTTGGTGCGTCTGGTCAGGTAGCTGCATCGGGTCAGGTGTTTGCTGCACCTTCCAGGTCTGGTCCTGAGTATGCCCTCTGCTCGTGTCGTCTCCTGTCTCACCAGACTCTCCTCTGGCACCACCGCCTTGGTCACCCCTCCCTGCCTCGTCTCTGAGGCATGGCCTCCCGTGTCCTTGTCTCTGGTCTCCCCCGGTCCCTCCCTCCCCTTCCTCCGGGGCCTGCCCCTACCTACGTTCCCTGCGTCGAGGGGCGGCAGCGCGCCGCTCCTCACTCCTCCGAGTTTTCTCCGACAGAGGCTCCACTACAGACTCTCCACATGGACGTGTGGGGCCCAGCCCGCGTCCGTGGACAGGGTCACGAGCGTTACTTCCTGCTGGTGGTTGACGACTACTCGCGTTACACCACAGTCTTCCCCTTGCGCGCAAGGGTGAGGTCACTGCGGCGTTGATTGACTGGATCTGCGCTGCCCGTCTCCAGCTCAGAGAGAGTTTTGGCTCGGAATTTCCTGTTCTGCGTCTGCACTCCGACAGAGGTGGAGAGTTTTCCTCCGACCTTCTGCGAGCCTTCTGTCATGCACGAGGCATCCGTCAGACGTTCACGCTTCCGGCTTCTCCACAGCAAAATGGGATTGCTGAGCGCCGCATTGGCATGGTCATGGACGTCGCTCGTACGTCCATGATCCATGTGGCTGCTCCCCATTTTCTGTGGCCGTTTGCGGTTCAGTACGCGGCACATCAGATCAACCTTCAGCCCCGGGTCTCCGTGTCGGAGACCTCCCCTACTCTGCGGTGGATGGCGAAGGTTGGCGATGCGTCTGCGTTCCGTGTCTGGGGATCTCGAGCTTTCGTCCGCGACTTGTTTGCGGACAAGCTGTCCTCCCGTGCTGTTCCTTGCGTCTTCCTTGTCTTCCCCCCTGACGCGCCTGGTTGGCAGTTTTACCACCCCACCTCGCGTCATGTTCTGTCCTCCCAGGACATCACGTTTGATGAGTCGGTTCCCTACTTCCGTCTATTCCCCTACCACAGTGCTACCCTTCCCCCCCCGCTGCTCTTCCTCGCGCCAGGTCCCCCCCCAGTAGACCCCCTCCCCCCTCAGGGTCTTGCCCCCTCAGGTGTGTCCTAGGTAGACGCAGTCGAGCCTGTCGAGGTAGCTATTGACTCCGGTGCTGTAAAGGGTGCTAAGCCTGCGGGTACCGGGTCTGGGGGTGCTGAGCCTGAGCATGCGGAGCCTGGGGGTGCTGAGCGTGGGGGTGCTGAGCCTGGGGTTGCTGAGCCTGGGGGTGCTCAGCCTAGGGTTGCTGAGTGTGGGGGTGCGGAGCCTGAGGGTGCAGAGCCTGCGCGTGTGGAGTCTGGCGGTGCTAGGCTTGGAGGTCCTTCGGGTGCTTTATCCCGGCGGGAGCTACCCTCTCCTCAGGAGCTGCGTGAGTGGTTTGCTCGGCGCTGGAGCCGTGCTGCCTGAGCTGGTGGTGGTGTCGAAGCTGGAGGGTCTACTACTACTGGGGGTGCTGGAGCCACGGGTCCCGGAGGTGCTCGTACTGGAGGTACTGGAGCTGCTCGGCCTGGTGGTGCTCTTAGTGCTGGAGCTGCTGCGTCTTCCGGTGGTCCTGTTGGAGCTGGAGCTGCTAGAGGTGCTTGAGCTGGATGTGCTGCTAGAGCCAGTGCTCCTGTGGGTGCTAGAGTTGGCGCTACTGGAGCGATTGGTGGTACTACTGGAGCTGGTGGAGCTGCAGGGGTCGGAGCTGCCGCTGGGGGTGCTGGTGCTGTCCCTGCTGGTTCAGGAGGTGCTGCGCGGCCACGAACGTACTTCATTCCGCTCCTTGAGCAGGTTATTTGTCTTCCGCCT